TGGTTCTTTTGTAATGATTTATTTTGGTTTGGCAATTATTTAAAGTGGAACTAAACACTACATTTTTTGCTATTAAGCTGTGTATGTGGTGTTTATCTACTGTTTTTAGTCAGTTTTGGTAAACTTTTGCAGAAAGGAAGGAAAAAATATCAAAATCTTCAGTGGCCTCTGCAGTTTCAAGTACTATGTGACATCACACATGATGTTTCCGTGTTTCTGATACAAACACCTGTCTGGGAGGGTGGAATTTGAAGTGTGGATACCTGTTAGACCAGGCATGTCCAAACTGCGGCCCATGGGCCAAATGCAGCCCTCAGACAAATTTTTCTTGGCCCTCAGGCTTCCAGGTGAATTGGCCCAAATGACCTTATATCATTTAAAAATTAACTTCTTACTGCAAGCTTCTGGAAAATCTACCTTGATATAGTGAATATTTAATATTTAGTGTGTGGTTTTAAGGATCTTAGCATGAGCCATCAGTATTTATTCATGCTAAACGTGTTAAACATGCACATATTTCAATTATTCACTATACTGAACACCAGTCTGTGGCCCTCTGCTTCATCTGTGTTTAGATATGTGGCCCTTGATGAAAAAAGTTTGGACACCCCTGTGTTAGACCAATCACACTGCTCCTTATGCTTCCAGACCCCGCCCCTCACTCTCCCCTTTAGTCCTCCAGAACCCACCTCACTCTCCCCTTTAGTCCTCCAGACCCTGCCCCTCACTCTCCCCTTTAGTCCTCCAGAACCCACCCCTCACTCTCCCCTTTAGTCCTCCAGACCCTGCCCCTCACTCTCCCCTTTAGTCCTCCAGAACTCACCCCTCACTCTCCCCTCACTCTCCCCTTTAGTCCTCCAGAACCCGCCCCTCACTCTCCCCTTTAGTCCTCCAGAACTCACCCCTCACTCTTCCCTTTAGTCCTCCAGACCCCGCCCCTCACTCTCCCCTTTAGTCCTCCAGACTCCGCCCAGTGTAGCAGCTCTGTCTGAAATGTGTTTTTAGACTGAGTTTAGGTGTTTAGTTCCACTTTAAGTCATTTTGTTGAGTAAAATCAGCTCTAACTGAACCAGGCAAGAGATTGACAGTTTAACAGTCATTGAAAAGGCCACAGACTTGTATTTTTTGACACCGATCGAAAACACAGTGGAAAAACAGGCTGAGTTCACTGTTAGAACATCTGGAGACAGGTCCGAATTCTCAGGTGGAGTTTGCTCTTCAACGCTGCTTTTTCTCCATGAAGACATTATTGCTTTGTCTGGAATGTTTCACAGTACGGCATTAAACCTTTATATCTTCATGGAGACCACAGGAGTTACAGGTCAGATCTGTGGAGAGAAGACCCCACACATACTCAGAATACCTGTTTTTCTAGGTATTTTTGAGCTATAAAACCACCTGTAATTGAATACAGGCAGTGTTGGGGAGTAACAGATTACATGTACCGGCGTTACATAATCAGAGTACAAATTATAAGGAATGGTATTCGGTTACAGTTACTGGTAATTGGATTACAGTTACTTTGTTGAAATAAATGGATTACACGGCGGGATTTTCCTGTTTTCACATTTTGTGCTGTATCCCCCCCTTTTTTTTTTCTTTTGGTAATTTCACTCATTACTGGAAACTAAACCAGGTCTAAACCAGGTCTAAACCAGGACTAAACCAGGACTCTAAACCAGGTCTAAACCAGGTCTAAACCAGGACTAAGGCAGGGCTAAACCAGGACTAAACCAGGACTAAGGCCAGGACTAAACCAGGTCTAAACTAAATCTAAACCAGGTCTAAAACCAGGATTAAGACAGGACTAACACCAGGTCTAAACTAGATCTAAACTAAATCTAAACCAGGACTAAAACCAGGTCTAAACCAGGACTAAACCAGGTCTAAACTAAATCTAAACCAGGTCTAAACCAGGTCTAAACTAGATCTAAACTAGATCTAAACCAGGACTAAATCATGCTGTGTGGACGTGTCTCCTCTTCTTCTATCAATAATATTTTTAATTTGGTTCAGTAAAGTCTGGACTTTTTATTTTCTTTTAGCAGATAAAACATCTTATGTTACAATATCCTCGTCTTTGCTTCTCTACAGCAAATCAAGTAATCCAAAGTATTCAGATTACTTTACTCACCTAAAGTAATTTATTGGATTAAGTTACAAACTACATTCTGGGGTATGTAATCTGTAATCTGTAGGGGAATACATTTTAAAAGTCACCTTCCCAACACTGAATACATGTAAAGTAGAGCTGTTTAATGTCATACTGTGGAACATTCCAGGCAGAACAATGACATCTCCATGGAAACAAGCAGGTGATGGACCCTCAAGCTTCTTCTAGACTCCATCTGAAATCATGACGTCATCAAATAGTTAGAAAGTGAACACAGCCCGTGGAGAGTCCCATATGAAACACAGACAGTCAGAGCCGGGTAAAAACATGCAGATTGTCAACAGTTCCAAGATGGCGGCTTGTTGTGGCTTGAATATGTTGCGTTTGACCCTGGAGTGGACAATAATAACAATTTCATTTAAAAGGCTGGATAAGATATACCAACTGGACGTACTATGATTTGACCTGACGAAGCTGCCCGGTTGGTGGCGAAAAATCAGCTTCAAAAGTTCAGTAAGTCCAGTTGGTTTAGTTGAACTCTTTAATAACAATATTTTATTTTAATTTTTTTTTAATGGGACAATAATATAAAGCTGTTATCCTATTGAGTTTTGACATTATAATACAATACAACTAACAAAGTATTCCAAGTCTTTGAAATACTGTACTCTTATTGGACCATTCTAATGCAGATATTCAGTATTCTGCAACAAATTGTTCCAAGTATTCTGACGTTCTGGGGCTACATCTGAGCGTAATTAGCTGTACGCCAAATGTGGCAAGAAGCAAAAGAAAAAGGTAATTCTGTAAACTGGATAAAAGTTCCCGGTGCATGTTGCACTCTGCCAGGGCCGCCCCTGTCACCAGTTCTGTTCATTTTATTTATGGACAGAATTTCTAGGTGCAGTCAGGGGCCAGAGGGGATCCTGTTGGGGACCACAGGATCATCTCTGCTGTTTGCAGATGATGTTGTCCTAACGGCTTCATCAAACCAGGACCTGCAGCACTGGGGCAGTTTGCAGCAGAGTGTGAAGTGGCTGGGATGAAGATCAGCTCTTCCACGTCCGAGGCCGTGGTTCTCGACCAGAAAAATGTGTATTGTCCTTCCCGGGTGGGTGGAGAGTCCCTGCCTCAAGTGGAGGAGTTCAAGTATCTCGGGGTCTTGTTCATGAGTGATGGGAGGATGGAACGTGAGATTGACAGGTGGATCGGTGCAGCGTCGGCAGTGATGCGGTCGCTGTATCGAACTGTTGTGGTGAAGAGGGAGCTGAGTTGAAAGGCGAAGCTCTCGATTTACCGTCAGTCTACATTCCTCCCTTCACCTATGGTCATGAGCTCTGGGTAGTGACCAAAAGGACGAGATCGTGGATACAAGCGCTCGAAATGAGTTTCCTCCGCAGGGTGGCTGGGTGCTCCCTTAGAGATAGGGTGAGGAGCTCAGTCACACGGGAGGAGCTCGGAGTAGAGCCGCTGCTCCTCCATGTGGAGAGGAGCAGCTGAGGGGAGGACAACTGTTCTGGATGCCTCCTGGACGCCTCGCTGGCGTTCAGGGCATGTCCCACCAGGAGGAGGTCCCGGGGAAGACCCAGGACACACTGGAGGGACTATGTCTCTGGGCTGGAATGGGAACACCTCAGGGTTCACCCCAGAGGAGCTGGAGGAAGTGTCTGGGGTGGAGGAAGTCTGGGAGTCCCTGCTTAGACTGCTGCCCTCGCAATCTGGCCCCAGATAAGCGGAAGAAAATGGATGGATAAATGTTTCTTTTGTCCAGTGACAGAATTTAATTTCTCTTTTGCTCTGGACGAGTGAGGGTCATGCAGACCTGCTTTAGACTGTTTATTGTTCAGATGAAACCTGAACATAGTTCAGCTCTGGAGCCACATACGACCCTTTGGTTGACTCTGACCGGACCGTTTAAGCTCATTTGGAATGACAAAATAAATATATTTTATCATTTGACCTCATGCATGAACTAAAGCTGCATTGCTTTTATTTTAGAGGTGTTTTTTAAATGACATTTTTTGTAAAGCGACCTCACTTTTTCTTTGCTTAGTCCGAACATAAACTGTTCCCAGTCTGAGCAGCTCGTCAGAACAATGATATTTGCTGCTTTTTTTAATAAAGAAATATAATTAATATTCTGCAGAACTGAGTGAAGCATTTTGGCCTCCACAATATTTTCTGTTTCTCATGTGGCCCCAGGGAAAAAAAGAATTGCCCTCCTCTGGTTTAGACACAAGTGCAGATCTTTGTGTTGTTAGAGTCCACTCCAGGGCTGTGGTGAGGTGGTGGTAAAAGTAGTAAAGTACTGTACTTCAAGAAATTAGGTATCTGTATTTTACTTAAGTACACTGAAAAGTGAGTACTTTTTACTTTTACTATACTTCACTACATTTGAGAGTGAGTATCTTACCTTTCAGTCCTGTTCAAAAATGTAGTGAAGTAGAAAGTACAAAGTATTTTTATTATAGTCAGTAGTCTGCTGAAAAATCTGAGAGTTTATTTTTAATACATTTGTAATTTGAGCAAACTAAAATTTACAGATCAAAACAGAAACTGCATCTGAACATCTCAAAATCTGTGTGAAGTACTTTTACTTTTTACTCTTTAAATACATTTTTAAACAGGTACTTTAATACTTTTACTTAAGAAGTTCTTGTCATGTGATACTTTTACTTTTACTTGAATATTTTTTGCTCCAGTATGTGTACTTTTACTTAAGTAACAAAATGGAATCCTTCTCCCACCCCTGGTTCTGCGTAGTATTGTACTGTATTGTATTGTATTGTGTAGTATTGTGTAGTATTGTGTAGTATTGTGCAGTATTGTGCAGTATTGTGTAGTATTGTGTAGTATTGTGTAGTATTGTGCAGTATTGTGCAGTATTGTGTAGTATTGTGCAGTATTGTGCAGTATTGTGTAGTATTGTGTAGTATTGTGTAGTATTGTGTAGTATTGTGTAGTATTGTGTAGTATTGTGTAGTATTGTATTGTATTGTATTGTATTGTATTGTATTGTATTGTATGGTACATGTTGAGTGTTACAGCGATTTGTAAAAGTGATTAAAAAGAGCACAAGTCTCTTTGGCTCCAGCGGCGTCAGAGAGTCACGATTTACCAAAACACAGACGAATCGCACAGGAATCGTAGAAAAAGTGTGGAGAAGTGGAGATGTGAGAGTTTCCTCCTGTGAGCTCAAAGGTTCCACACTGAGTCCATGAAGCAGAACCACAGAGGACAGGAGGAGGGAGGGGGGGTCCTCTTCAGGTGTTTAAAGCCCCGCCCCCTTCTCTCAGGTGTCCATAAACCCGCCCCTCATGTGTTCATCGCTCCGCCCCCTCTCTGCTCTTGGAGGAGGTACTGCGAGGGGGCGGGGCCAGTGTCGCAGGAGTTGGACCAGGAGTCTGACGCCAGGTAACTAGGACAGACAGAGGAAAATGGAAAAGATGCATTATGAAAAGTTTTGCTTGAGGTCCGTCACCTACTTGTTTCTATGGATACATCATTGCACAGTCTGGAATGTTCCACAGGTGACATTAAACAGTTAATAAACACATTTATTCAATTACAGGTGGTTTTATAACTCAAAAATCCCTTGAAAAACAAACATTCTGACTGTGAGTGGGGTCACCTCTCTGTCTGGTTTGGTCTTCATGAAGGTAGAAAGGTTTAATGTCATATTGTGAAACATTCCAGACAAAGCAATAACATCTCCATGGAGAAAAGCATTTGATGGACCCTTCACCAGAAAACACAGTGCACCTTAAAGTCTTATATAATGATAATAATAGTATTAATTTTACTCTGTCAACTGGTCAAACGTTTCAGTGAAGACATTTCGTTGTTCATTCTTTTGGCCTCAGTGCTGGTTGGACACTGCTTTAAAGGGCCGCTAAACACCAAAATCACTTTTTTCTACTTATTTTCTGTGTAAATGTGTCTGAAATAGAAGTGTATCTCTATCCCTGGACCTATTTTGGCATTTTAGTGCATATTTGTTAAAAATGTGACTTTTAGGTCAAAGTCGTGTCTGTAGCAGTCTCTTTAGGATAAACTACGGCCAGGACATTTGAATTGTTGGGTTGGACTCAGAGCCAGTGAGTCAGATGCAGGTTATAACATGATGAGCGCAGACACTGGTGTCTACGGGTGGTACGTGACAAGCCCCTCTCAGCCCTGCCCCGACCTGGCATCGCCGGGCACCGACATGTCTGGAGTAAAAGGAAACGTCATGGCCCGAGCAAAATGTCTGCTCTGTTTCAATGTCTGAAGAGCACTGGTCCACGTGTTGGACTGTTGTGGCTGTCAGTCGGCTGTCAATCATTGCCCCAGAGCCCGCCCCAAACCTGCTCCCCCCAACCCACTGGGCACTGCCCCACACTCGCTCCAACCCGCCCGGCACCGCCCACTCTGGAGGATTTTTCAGATTTTGCTTAGGGGTGGAGTAAAGCTTCAGGAGTGTTTAATGTCTCTTTAAATCGGTCTGAAGTGAGGAGCAGGGGCGGACTGGGAAACTCAGGACCGGAGGGGGAGCGGGTGCAGTGGCCCCCCAGTCGGAACATACAGATATCCAGTCCACCCCCTGTGAGGAATTAACTATACTGAGATTAGCACATGTATTTGTTTAGAACAGGCATGCCCAAAGTACGGCCCGTGGGCCAAATGCGGCCCTCGAACAAATGTTTCTTGGCCCTCAGGCTTCCAGGTGATTTGGCCCAAATGACCTTGTATCAATTAAAAATGAACTTTTTACAGCCAGTTTTTTTGAAAATCTACTTTGATAAAGCCAATACTGAAGATTTAATGTGTGGTTTTGGGGATTTTAGAGTGAATAAGGACTGATGGCTCATTCCAAAGTGTTAAACATGCACATATTTCAATTATTCCCTGTACTGAGGGTCTGCGGCCCTCGATCAGCCCTGTGCTTCGTCTGTGTTTAGAAATGTGGCTCTTGATGAAAAAAGTTTGGACACCCTGGTTTAGAGTTTCTGTTATTAGTCATTAGTTATTAACAAGGTCATAATCGTTCAGGCCCCTAAAACCTTTTCCAGTTGAGAGAATTTAATTTGTTTTGCCGAGTCAGGTTTTGAATCACTGTTGTCTCAATAATGTTTTTGCAATAGTTATTTGTTAATTGTTTTTTTACTGTATATTTCTATTCTCCTGCTGTTCTTGAACTGTGCATTACAACACTGGAATTTCTTCACTGTGGCACAAATAAAGTTCTATAGGCGAGTTTCATTGTTGACAAAAGCGCGCGTTGGTAAAGGTCACATTTTTCTATAGCGCTTTTCCACCTTCAAGGCACTCAAAGCACTTTACAACAAGGAACCACTCACCCATTCACACACCAGTGTACACAAACACTGTGGGCAAGGTGGGTTAAGTGTCTTGCCCAAGGACACAATGACAGCATTCATCTGTGGGAGCTGGAATCACACCAGCCAACCTGTGGGTCACTGGATCTGAACCGCTCAACCTGTGATGTTTTATGTCGAGAGCTGGAATCAAACCGCCAACCTTCAGATCAGTGGGCGAATGCTCCACCAACTGAACTACTGCTGCCCTGCGTTGCAAACTGGGAATTATTTTGGTCGGTGGCAAGAAACACTAATTCAACATGATGGATGGAGTGAGAAAGCACGTAAAGGGTATTGATCCCGATTATTTATCCACTCTAACGGCAGAGGACCCAAGACCATTTGACCAGAAATTGGTCATAAGCATCGACGGACGACAAATCACACTTTTCAACCCCGACAAAAGGTGGACCAAACCAAATTTCTGGTCAGAATCACCAACTACCTGGACAAATATTCACTTTGGCGATATCCAGAGTGACTTGGTGGAAACAAACATGGTCAAACATAAAAAATGCTGACAGTGACAATGACAGTGAAGACACGGACAACATTTGTGTTTGACCATGTTCATTTGTTACACGACATAGTGATATGGCACCTGTTATAGAAGCGTCTGGAACAGCGACCAGATCAAGTGGTTGAGCGCGTTCATATGCTGCAGTAAAGAGCAACGTTTGATACTTCAAACCAGGTCTTGATGGGAACATGTTCAGGATGCATTTGGATTATTTTTCAATAGAGAAATAATACACCACGATAAAGAAGGTTTAACGCGACAATACAGCTCCCGCAGTTTTGCATCTCTCTATGGGAGTGAAAGGAAGCGAGAGGAGGACACGCCCCCCCCATGCTTCCAGGTGTGGCTCCGCCTTTACCAGTTACGCTGATCGCCAGACAATCCGGACAGGGGACTCAGCGCTGCGCTGCGCAGCATCCGGCGTCAATGGGTTAATGAACGGTAATGAAAACCCGGACATTTGCATCACTATAAAAAAAAAAAAACCCGGACGCCCCGGACAAAATACGGACATGTCTGGGGAAAAACGGACGTTTGGTCACCTTAGTGTATCATATCAGCAACTTCTTAATGATCCTCAGCCCTACCAAACACCCTAATGAAATAAATGATTTTAGTTTTGTCTTAGTTTACTGGTAGAAATGTTACGTCGTGGGACTTTAAAAATGGTTTGATGAACTTGTAGAACCAAACTCAACTGGGGAAGCAGGACTCACTTGTTATTCTCCATGTGAGGGAGCACCAGGCTGTGACTGGGCGTCTGGCTGTGTGTGGGCGGGGCTTGCAGGTGTCTGTCGAGGATGTGGGCGTGGTCAGCAGGGGTGTACTCCGGCTGCGGTTGGCCAAAGGAGTCGGGGGCGTGGCTCTGGGGGATAAACTCCGGTTGCGATTGGCCGAAGGGCTCGGGGGTGTGGCTCTGGGGGCTGAACTTGGGCTGCGATTGGCCGAAGGACTCGGGGGTGTGGCTTTGGGGGCTGACCTCGGGCTGCGATTGGCTGAAGGCCTGGGAGGCGCGGCCGCTGGTGGAGGTGTTGGCGTCGAGCATTTCCAGGAGAAGGTCGTAAACGAGAACAACATTTTTCCTCTTCATCGTAGAGAGATGATCCATCCCTTTGTTACTGCGAGAGAAAGAGAGATGGAGAGAAAGAGAGAGGGAGAGAGAGGAGGGAGGAGGAGAGAGGGGGGGAAGGGGGGAAGCAGGGAGAGAGGGAGGGAGGGAGAGAGAGAGAGAGAGAGAATGAGTAACGGAAGGAGGGAGACGGAGAGAGGGAAAGAGGAGCGAGATGGAGAGGAGGAGAGAGGGGGGGAAGGGGGGAAGGAGGGAGAGAGATGGAGGGAGAGAGGGAGGGAGGGAGAGAGAGAGGGGGAGAAGGAGGGAGGGAGAGAAAGGAAGGAGAGAAAGGAAGAGGAGAAGAGAGGGGGAGAGAAGGAGTAAGGGAAGGAGGGAGAGAGATGGAGAGGAGGAGAGAGGGAGGGAAGGAGGGAGGGAGAGGAGGGAGAGAAAGAAAGGGAGGGAGAGGAGGAGAAAGATAAGGAGGAAGGGAAGGAGGGAGAGGGAGGGAGAGGAAGAGAGAGGGGGAGAAAGGGAAGGAGGGAGCGAGATGGAGAGGAGGAGAGAGGGTTGGAGAGAGGGGGAGAAGGAGGAAGGTAGAAAGAGGGAAAGGAGGAGAGAGAGGGAGGGAAGGACAGAGAGAGAGGAAGGAGGAGGGAGGGAGTGGAGGGAGAGAAAGAAAGAGGGAGAGGAGGAGAGAGGAAGAGGAGAAGAGAGGGGGAGAGAAGGTGTAAGGGAAGGAGGGAGAGAAGGAAGGAGCAAAATGGAGAGGAGGAGAGAGGGAGAGAGGGAGAGAAGGAGAGAGGGAGGGAGATGGAGAGGAGGCGAGAGGGTAGGAGAGTGGGAGGGAAGGAGGGAGGGAGAGGGCGAGAGAAGGAGAAGGAGGGACAGAGATGGAAAGGAGGACAGAAAGGGGGAGGGAAGGACAGAGAGAGGGAGAGAGAGGAAGAAGGAGGGAGGGGGGAAGGAGAGAGACGGGCAAGGAGGGAGGGAGATAGAGAGGAGGAGAGTGGGGGAGAGAGGGAGGGACAGAGTGAAGGAGGGAGAGGGAGAGAGGGAGGGAAAAAGGGAGGGAGAGGAATGGAAGGAGAGAGAGAGAGATTTATTTTCTTATTCAATGTGAAATACAGATTTGGAGATACATGAGCTCCCACGGATGTTCCTTAAACCACAAATGATGAAAAATGACCAAAAACATAACGACAAACCAACAACACGACAACAAACCTCTCCATAAAACATACGACACGTTGAAGTGTTTCGCATAAATTATTGACACTTAATCAGGAGTCTAAACGTTTCTTAAATCTAACGCTGAATATATCGGACAAACTGCACCAAAAATCTACCACCACGACTGTTTGACAATGACATTTTAGTTTTATTTCATCAAGCTCCACAAATCCTTCTGAAAAGTGTGAAATCCAGGTGATAGTGAGTCTAAACGCTCGTGGTGAGATGCGACTGTGGTGAACTCTGCACCACCAGTGTGTTACTGAAGAGAGAATGAATCCTGCAGCACATAAAATACACCAAGATCCTCCTGAGACGCGGCCCATTCATGTGTGTCCATTGTAGTGGACACTGAGCTCTAAAGTCTATATTTGAAGTGTTTTGAGAAAGGCTCTTCATGGGGGGATTAGGTTTCCTCTGTCTATATAGGACTGGGGGGTTATAGAGTACTATCATCAGTGTTGGGAAGGTTGACTTTTAAAATGTATTCCCCTACAGATTACAGATTACAAACCCCAAAATGTAGTTTGTAACAGAATCCAATAAGTTACTTAAAGTAAGTAATGTAATCTGAATACTTTGGATTACTTGCTTTGCTGTAGAGAAGCAAAGACGAGGAAATCATAACATAAGTCTGCCAAAAGACAAGAAAAAAGTCCAGTCTTTACTTAACTGTATTAAAAATATTATTGATAGAAGAGGAGGAGACACGTCCACTCAGCATTTAGTCCTGTTAAATCCTGGTTTAGACCTGGTTTAGTCTTGGTTTAGTTCTGGTTTAGACCTAGTTTAGTCCTAGTTTAGTCCTGGTTTAGTCCTGGTTTAGTCCTGGTTTAGTCCTGGTTTAGACCGAGTTAAGACCTAGTTTAGACCAGGTTTTAGACCAGGTTTAGAACTGGTTTGGACCTGGTTTTAGACCTGGTTTAGTGTCCGGCGTGGAATTACTGAAAAAAAAAAAAAAAAAAAAAAAAGGGAATACCCCGAAATGTGAAAACAGCTAAATCCCGCCATGTAATCCATTTATTTCAACAAAGTAACTGTAATCCAATTACCACTCACTGAAACAGTAACTGTAACTGAATACAGTTACTCATAATTTGTACTCTGATTACTCCCCAACACTGACTATCATGTCCAGGATACAAAATTAACTCAGTAGGAGTTAGTCTGTAGCTGCACTATAATATTACTACTACTAGTACTACTACTACTACTACTACTACTACTACTACTACTACTACTACATGTACTGGAGTTACGTAATCAGAGTACTAATTATGAGTAACTGTATTCTGTTACAGTTACTGTTTCAGTGAGTGATAATTGGATTACAGTTACTTTGTTGAAATAAATGGATTACACAGCCGTATTTTCCTGTTTTCACTAAACCAGGTCTAAACCAGGACTAAAACCAGGTCTAAACTAGATCTAAACTAGATCTAAAACAGGACTAAATGCTGGGTCGGACGTGTCTCCTCTTCTTCTATCAATAATATTTTTAATACGGTTGAGTAAAGTCTGGGCTTTTTATTTTCTTTTAGCATAAAAAACATCTTATGTCCGAGTCTTTGCTTCTCTACAGCAAATCAAGTAATCCAAAGTATTCAGATTACATTACTCACTTTAAGTAATTTAATGGATTCCGTTACAAAGCACATTTTGGGGTATGTAATCTGTAATCTGTAGGGGAATACATTTTAAAAGTCACCTTCCCAACACTGAATACTACTACTAAGACAACTATGACTATGACTACGACTACTAATAATAATAAAAATAATAATAATAATGATAATAATGATAAAAATAAAATGAACAAAATCTAAATACCAAGGTGTTCATTTACCTCAGAATAAATAGAAAATCACAAAAAAAAAAAAAAATTACAATACACTTTTTTTCTTTGGGTCCCATGAGGATATATGAAGACTGTGTTTTGTATAGTTGTAAATACCTGACGTGTCGTATGTGGGACAGCAGCATGGTGAGGTGTCCCAGCCGGAGCGTCTGCTGCTGGAGGACAGACCCAGTTTGGAGATGGCCCAGACCAAGGCGTCGATCACAGAGTCGAGTAAACGCAGGAGTTTAGCTCTGCTCTCTGCCTCCTCTGCAGTCTGAGGACTCGAGTTACACAGATCTGAGAAATATAACAACAAATATAGCCACAAGCGGCAATGATCGGCCCTTGTGTGTGCCTACACCTCGTCCCGCAAACGCCCCGTCCCGCAAACACTGTGCCTCACAAAACACCGCGCTGCGCACTAACCCTAATAACCCAAAGCTTAAACCTAACCCTAGTCCTAATCTTCACCATAGCCCCAACCCTAGCCCTAACTCTTAACCTAACCCTGCCGTTTTACATCATTTTTGCATGTATTTATTAAAACAAACAGGCCTGGTTGCAATATACAGTTTTTGTTCCTTTTGCCAAGATGCATCTGGCTACAAAATTGATTTTTTTCTACACAAACTTTGTGTAAGGACGTCCCATTGGCAAGGGCAGATTTTGTGCTTGTTGCCATAGCAACACCATGTAAATGGGGTGTGGGCATCATTGAGTTTTTTAATGGAGACCATGTCACAAATGTGTATACCAAATTTTATGTATCTATGACAAATAAAACGTTATTGTTCTATTCAAATTTTCTAGGGGGCACTAAACCCGGACTAAAACAGGTCAAACCAGATCAAACCGGATGAAAACCAGATCAAACGAGGTCAAAATCAAGGCAAGGCAAGTTTATTTGTATAGCACAATTCGTACACAAAGTAATTCAAAGTGCTTTACAGAATAAGAAATACATTAACATCATAATAAAAACAAATCAAAACATAAATAATCATGAAGATTAAAATTCAAATTTAATTAAAATCAAGATTCCATCATCACCGTGGCGATGTCTTGTGTCAGCCAATCAGCTAACAGCATGGAGCAGCATGCCCTATATAAGGCACCAACACTTCTGGCACCAAACACAACTTCTCAAGACACTGTTGAAGACGTACACAACCATGGACAGCTCGTACACTTTCTCCTCCAAACCCTGGCACCTCTATACACTAGAGGATGACGCCCACCTCTACGACGAGGACTTCAACCTGGAGGCTCTGCTCTGCCCCACACCATCAGGCGGCGTTCAGAAGCCAGCGGAGACCCAGGTGTCTCCCGACATCCAGGACTCCTCAAAGTTTGAGGAAAGAAGTCCGGTCCAGGAACTTCCACCCCTGGAGGACAGCGCTCTGGTCAGAGAGCTGCGCGTAGAGCTGGAGCGGACAAGGGCCCAGCTTAAGACTGAGGGGGAAGATGGCCAAAGAAAAGGCCTTGGAGCTCACTAATGCTCTTCAGGAGAAAGACAAGCAACTCCAAGAAGAGGTTAGAGCACATAAGAGGCTCCAGTACCTGTACCAATCTAAAGTACAGGAAAACGAGCACTTAAAACAAAAGCTCAACTCCGATGACGTCACAGAAAAGTCTGCTGAAAAAGACTTGGAATTTCAAAAACTTACTTCTACTCTCCAAAAGAAGGAAAAGGAACTCCAAGATTTAGAGAACACACATACGAAGATCCGCGTCCTGTACAATGTTAAAGTACAGGAGCACGTGCAACTCAGGCAAGAGTTTGCCAACTTCAAAAAAGTCAGTGAAAAAACAAATGAAAAAGACTCTGAGTTGAAAGAGGTCAAAGCCAACCTCCTGACAAAACAGAAAGAGCTGGAAAATGAGGTGAGTGCGTATAAAGACTTAAGATGTCTCTACAACAAGTCGGCAGCAGACAAAGTAGAGCTCAAACAAGAGCTGTTCAACACCAAGAAAGTGAATGAGAAGTTGAAAGAACAACTTAAACAACTTACATTAAAGACTGAAACTACTTGTAACGATGTTGGTGGAGATCAAACCACCAATGAAAACGAGAAACTGTCCAGGAGGCTGCAGGAGCTGACTGCTGAACTTTATTCAACACGAGAGGAGCTGCGTCTCCTGAAACGTCATCGTGATCGTGAAAGATCCAGCTGCCCAAAAGGAGCGGCCGTAGTGGAGCAGCAGTGGAGGAGGCTCAGGCATCAACAGCACTAGAGCCTCCACCTCCAAACATCACACTTTACACACATGAATAAAAAAATAACAACAAATATTTAAATGTGTGCTTTGACCTTTATTTTAGTTTTTTAATCATGTTTTATTTTTTGGTTTTTTCACATAGTTTAATTCACATGCCAGTCATATGACATACTGCAGTGGCTTGTTTTTTATGCAGAAATTGGTAAAGTGAATGTACCAAAAATAATATAATACATCAGGGGTTTTCAGAGTGAATGCCTCCCCTTAGAGTAGAAGTAAAAACACCTGAGCCCACTATACCAGGACTAAACCAGGACTAAACCAGGACTATACCAGGACTAGGGTGTCCACAAAGCACCACTGGACAACGGCTGCGCTTAACTCTGTGAGGCACGGAGCTCTCCATCCATCCTTTCACCTGCGCTCACCCGACGGTCTAGACGGGCGCACCTCCGGGCCTGTCCACACACTCAGTCTTGGTTCAGTTCTGGTTTAATCCTAGTTTAGTCCTGTTTTAGTCCTATCCTGGTTTAGTCCTGGTTTAGTCCTGTTTTAGTCCTGTTTTAGTCCTAATTGTAAAATAAAACCTTATTTTTACATACAAATTTTCTAGGGGGCGCTATTGCACCCATCTTTCTTACATCAGTCTGTTCAGAGTCGGGGTGTGAACACACAGTTAAAATTTGAGTGAAATTGGCCAAAGTTTGTGCGATTTGTCAATTTTTTGATACAGACAGACCATGCATGTCCCTGATTGGCTAATCCACCTGTCAACCACGCCCATCTGAACTCTAGGAGATTCATCGGTGTAGTCTCTATTCACGCTTACGTCACAAACCAGGAAGACGTTTGGAAAGAGGAGATGACAACTTCTGGTGTAGTTCCCGACACTGGACTCACCGACTGTGATCAAACCCACTGAAGTAAATGTGATCAGAAGTAAAATGAAGCCTGCAGACGTATGTGCTGTTTGGAATCATCTCATCTCTTCTAATCACATGTACCAGTGCACTCGCAGTTGTGTGTCAGTTTGGAAATGATGAAAACTGAAGTATGGTTGAAATTAGCTGAACATAATAGAACACTACAATGACATGGAGATGAAGAAAACTGGGCCATTTTCTCATTTTTCCTAGATTTTGTTAGACTTGGAGCCCGCCAAAAGTTGTCATCACATGTTTCCAAACGTCTTCTTGGTCTGTGACGTAAGAATAGAATAGAGACTATTGGAGAAGTGTGTATTCTGGATTCCAGACAAAAAGTTCATTTGCAAAAACAGATATTTTAAAAGTCATCAGTGACATGAAGTCTATGTTTTCAAACACCAAAATGTCCTTTATGGAAATCACAATAATATAATTCTCCTTGATAACAATCCTCCTAATATTATTTTCACTGACAATTTTTGTAAAAGACAGCCACAAAAAAATGATACTTTTACAAATACTCAGTTTTTCAAAAGCATGCCGTGTGTGTTTGCAATTAAACTCTTCTGACAAATGAAGGAGTCTGGACTAGGGATGGGCATGATTTATCAACTAATCGATAACTGATCATTAAGAACGTTCATTTTTAATCAACAAACTGAATGTATGTTGCTGTGTGCAGTGTGAGGAGACGAGGCTGCGTCTGACACAAACACTCTAAAACAAACAAGCTCTATACAGCTCATCAGTGTCCCGGGTATGATCGGGTTTTTTCAGTATCCTGGTTTCGACATGGTGCATGTAAATGCAGTATCCTGGTTACTGCAACATGAAGCTGAGTGCACATGTGTCCAAAAGACAAACACTGTTCAGTCTTTTCATCACAACAGAAGCTAAAATAGATAATGTGATCAACATAAATAGAGTGAAATGATGTTAAATAAAGAGCAGCACTAAACCTGCACACGTCTGATCTCTGAAAACATGAACCACCTCCAACATGACACACACACACACAGAGAACACACTCACCATCATCACCATCATCACCATCATCACATCATCATCATCACCATCATCACCATCATCACCATCATCAACATCATCACCATCATCACCATCATCAACATCATCACCATCATCATCACATCATCACCATCATCATCATCACCATCATCACCATCATCATCAACATCATCAACATCATCACCATCATCATCAACATCATCACATCATCATCATCATCATCATCATCAACATCATCACATCATCAACATCATCAACATCATCAACATCATCACATCATCATCATCACCATCATCACCATCATCAACATCATCAACATCATCATCAACATCATCAACATCATCATCAACATCATCATCATCACCATCATCACCATCATCTACATCATCACATCATCACATCATCATCATCATCATCATCACCATCATCATCACATCATCACCATCATCACATCATCATCATCACATCATCAATCATCATCATCACCATCATCACCATCATCACCATCATCACATCATCATCAACATCATCAACATCATCAACATCATCATCATCATCATCATCATCATCATCATCAATCATCATCATCACCATCATCAACATCATCAACATCATCAACATCATCACCATCATCAACATCATCATCCATCATCACCATCATCACCATCATCATCAACATCATCACATCATCAACCATCATCACCATCATCACATCATCAACATCATCACATCATCATCATCACCATCATCACATCATCATCATCATCATCAACATCATCAACATCATCATCACCATCATCACCATCATCACCATCATCACATCATCATCACCATCATCACCATCATCACCATCATCAACATCATCAACATCATCAACATCATCATCACATCATCAACATCATCACCATCATCACCATCATCAACATCATCAATCATCATCAACATCATCAACATCATCACCATCATCAACATCATCATCAATCATCACCATCATCACCATCATCACCACATCATCACATCATTCAACATCATCACCATCATCACATCATCATCACACATCATCACCATCATCACCATCATCAACATCATCACATCATCACATCATCAACATCATCACATCATCAA